AAATTAATATAATTTCTAATATAATTTTTTTAAGTTGATTTTCTTATAATTTAACTAAAATTGCTAATGAAGCAAAAGTTCTGTATATTGCATTTTGGATTGATTTTACAAAATTTTGTAATATCCTCTAAAATACTCCTGCATCGTCATCCAGCAGCATCATCTCAGTCGATGTCATGGCGTGCAATGCTTTTGGTTTTTCTACGGTTCGGTTGGGTTTTGTTTGGTTTGAGTGGTCGCTCGGTTAGTTGAGTTGCATGCAAAATGGCTGCAAGGAAAAAAAAAGTATGGTTGACTATGTGAGTGTGTGTGTATGGGATGGCATGTGTGTGTGTGTGTGTATGTGCACAAGTGGTCGCACTTTAGCTGCTGCCACTGGCTCTAGTGCAGGTGCAGCTGCAGCGTCATGCTTTATGTTTTCAAATTAAAGTCGAAAGCGTGGCAACACTTAATGTGCGCCACTAGAAGCAGATTAGTTGCATTAAGGTGCGCTGGCGGAGTCTTGCAGCCAGACGAGGCAACGGCATCGGCCATAGCCCATGGCAATATTAATATTTAAAATAGAAGCGCCAAAGATGCCAGCAGCACGTTGCAAAAGGTAGGACGGGCGTTGGGTGGCACGTGGGTGGTCGTATGCAGCCGGACACACGGCTTAAAGTTGGGATAAACTATTTTCTAAGTATTGAATATGAAATTAAATTGGAGTTTGTAAAGTTGGCTTTAGATAGCAAAATTACTAAAGGAGTTGGTCAAATTGAATGGAAAGAGAGAGAGAGAGAGAGAGAGAGAGAGAGAATTATGATTGAATGCAGATGTGCATGGGAGGATATATGTTATAGATGTATATTAGATAGATTAAATCATAAAGATATTTTCAAAGTTCTCATTGAGTGGAATAAGATTCTAATTATGTAGACTCTTTGTTCACCATGTTTATGAAATGTGCTATAAAGTATATATCGTGATATATGGGACCATATCATAAAAGTATTTCAATGTTCTCAGCTACAGTTGTATAGCTTTGCTGTTTTTCTGGTTGCTTTTACTTATGGTGTAACAAGCGCAAAAGTCATTGCCGCAGCAAATTTTATTTCGATTGCAACAAAATGTGGCATAAGGGTCTGTGGTGGAGCTCTACTTTTAAGCCAACTGCTGGCAGTTACAGCTTATGCCGCATCCCATCCCATTCCATCCCCCTCCCACAAAACATCGAAACGCATCAAATTCAATGAATTTGAAATTTTTTCTAAGCGTGCACTTGATGCTGTTGCTGCTGTTGTTGGCTACAACTGGGATTATGATAATATAGCTGAAGTGCAGTTAGCTTTCGCTGTTGCAGCTGCAATAATCATAATAATAATGCAAGTGGTGTTGCTGATGCTGCTGCTGCTGCTGGTTGGGGGCGCAAAGTCGGCGGTTTGCATTTGATAACGATGATGATGCAGCAGCTCTCGGAATGGCAATACGAGTAGCAAGTGCCGAAAGGAATGGCTGTTGGGCAGCGCTGATAGGGAGACCGTCCCTATATAGATGATGATGCTGCAATTACGGCTGCTGCATTGCAGCACGTACTACGAGAAAAGTGTGTGGCAAGTTCTAGGAGGTGTAGCAGCCCCTATTTTCAGATACATAATTGTAGCTCACCTCATTATAATTGTGCCATAACATTGAAGTACAAATGTAATGCACCATTGCATAACTATTGTGGTGCTTAGATTGTTAACTGAACATCTAGTGCTGATGAGATGTTTAAATGCAGGAAAAATGATAATGTTTTTCCCACTATAATTTGTGAGCAAATAATCAACAGAAATTTAAAATTTTAATTGATTTGCCAAAACAGATTTCGGTCACAATAAATGTGCATAATTATTATAATATTCATAATTTCGGGTATTTTTTTTTTGTTTTTGTTTTTATTAGTTTTTGGTTTTTGGTTGCGGCAATTATAAACAATCAAATTGGAATTTCGGTTGCCCAAAAATTGCATTGTGCCGTTCAAGCGATAAAACAATTATAATTCAGAACAATTGAAAATTTGCTGGCAACGTGCAAAAATAATTGCAAAATTTTAGATCGTACATAAATAGGGCTTACAGTGAATATTGAGAAATAGTTGATGGAATAAATATTTATGGGCTTACCACATAAGGGTGCTTAGAGTTTCATCATTAAATATGAAATATGTTTAGAGCGATAGAGAGCTGCTATCTATGGAAAGTTGAATAATTAATTCCTCTGTTAATTTTTAAATATTATAAAGAGGGTATTTGCTTAAGTATTATACGGTTGAAGCGTTTTTGCGTAAAATTTTCTAGTGCAATAGAAAAAGATTTACTAAATTGAAAATGGAATTGTTAAGTGCTGTTAAATGCTTTATGCAATAACATTTAAATAATATACCAATAATCCTTATTAACACATTGAGCAATAAATCAAACTCGAGTTTTTGAAGAATTTTAAATCTACTCATGATACATCCATATAATTAACATACAAATGCCATATACTATACTAGATTCTAGTGTATGTACATATATATAAATTCTATTTAATTCTCTACTCTAAATACAGCACAGCAATGCCTAATAGACTTTTATCTCTGCCCTTACAATAAGTTCAGTCGATTTTAGCCAACAGCTAATTTGTTAACTTTAATGCCGATTGTAGAGCGTGAAAAAATTGCATTTTAATGAACTGCATTTAGGCTAAATTCATTATTTAGCAGCAGCAGGAGGAGTACCAGCAGCAGCAGTAGCAATTGTTGCTGCATCTGCAACTGCAACTGCAATTGCAATTGTCCCAGCCAATTGCATATTTGATAACAATTAATTTGGCCAGTTGCGCTCTTTTGTATTTGTGCAAATAAATTAGCTGACAATTTTACGGTGCAGGGGCGCGCGGACACGCCCACATTGTGTGTCCTTAGCAAATATTTGGCTGCATGTTAAATGTGCAGCAATTAGTTTTATCAGCAGCACAGCGAATTTTAATTTATGCCAAATTAATTGAGCATTGTTAAATTTGCGTGAATGCGAGAGCCGCTGTCCACGCTGCTCTGCATCGTTGATCTGAGATGGAAGCTGAAACTGGGTTAACCAACTGACGGTCAACTGGTCAACTGCTCTGCGCATGACGCTGACAATATCACAAACCCCAAACCTTGTCATTTGATAGCTTCGCGGTCTTCAGACACAGACTTGAACTGAGGTTTCCAATTACACCTTGAGTGTGTGTCGGGTAATGCATGTGTGTGACTGTGGGTGTGGGTGTGCGTGTGTGTGTGTGTGTGTGTATGTTCTATCTGAAGGCTGTGGTTAGCGCTTCCGCATGCATTCCGTTTCATGCTGCGATTATGTTACCAAGGTCGAGGTTAACACAATTATGATAGTAATAATAATAATGATAATAAATGCACTCAGTTGGAATTTAAGATGCATATTTCTCGTACTCCTCTACCTTGTTGCCTTCATTTAAACTATTTACGAATATGATTTTGTTTTCTAGTCTCGATCTAGTTATCTTTCCGAACTTAATTTAACTTACATTTTAAATTAAATTATTATGTTTACTCATGGCTTAAATTCTATACAGATTTTGTTTACTCTTTTTTTTTTCCAAATATGAAAGTTAAATTGTTTATCATCTTTTCAAACATAATTATATTGTTTTTCTCATTACAAATTACTCTTGCTCCCACTCTAAATATTGATGTAATTTTGCTAAAACATTATCTGCCATTCACTGATAATTCACGCATTTTTATCTATTTTATAATTCTTGCAGAACGCAAACTGTTTGTTGGCATGCTAAATAAGAAGCTGAACGAAAACGACGTGCGTAAGTTATTTGAAGTTCACGGCGCCATTGAAGAGTGCACAGTGCTGCGCGATCAGAACGGCCAGAGCAAGGGTTGTGCCTTTGTCACATTTGCGACCAAACACGCTGCCATTTCAGCCATTAAAGTGGTAAGTCTAAGATTTATAAACTAGTAGTATATACATAATAATATACACTACCTTCTTTGCAGACCTTGAGTCAGAACAAAATCATGGAGGGCTGCACATCGCCGCTGGTTGTTAAATTTGCCGATACCCAAAAGGAGAAGGAACAGAAGAAGATACAGCAAATACAGGCGAATCTGTGGAATTTGGCGACCAATATTAATATACCACTCGGCCAGACGCCAACCACAGTTTCCACACCGATACTGCCAAACCCACCGCAACAACCGTCGCCGGTAATGGGCGCCGATGCTCTGACGCCCGCCAGCATTCAGTTGCTACAGCAGCTGCAAACAGTTGGACTGCAGCAACAGCTGCTGCAAGGTGAATATCTCTAAAATATAAGTTTATGCACACTACTGCATATTATAGTTTAGCTTTGGCTTGGGAGTAGAAGCTAGTTGTTGTTCAAGGCGTTTCTTTGCCACGTGATAAGGGCTGTGTATGGGGTTTATTAGATTCGAGATTACAAGTTCTATCTGTGCTAAATCTTTTTGTCAAACAGTCATAACCAGAACTAGAAAAATAAGAATACCGAAGCTAAGTTTTTACTGCCTCTAAACACTGAGCTATATAGTAAAAGTATAGTATACTTACTATATAGTAAGTATAAGTATAACTAGTAAAAAGACAAAATTTTTAATTTTTTAGACTTAAAATCTATGCTATAAGCTAAAAAGTATTTAAATGTAATGCAGAAATATTGTTCAATTTTAGCTTCTTCTAAGATAAGAAATATTTTCATAATA